TGTAATTTATTATCATTTTACTTCCATCAGCAGTATTTAATACCTGTTTTGTTTTGCTAAAATATTTGGTTGGAACTAAACCTTCATTTATGCAATTTAGATCTGCTCCTGAATCTATAAGAGCAGTGGTCTGAAAAGTGTATTCCTTTTGCACCACTATTTTAACAATGGTAAACCATCTTTGGGTTATAACTTTATCCAGGAGGTTTACATATTTATAATCATATAACTTTCTCAGCATATTACAATTATTTGAAGTTTGCGGATCATCTATAACTTTGGGAGTGTATCCGCAATTTCGGGTGGTAGAAGATTGTGATTATAATCATGAATTAAATCATTAAATTCTTCTTCAGCATTTTCATTACCACTTTCATCTTTAGTGGTTGCTATCTCTAACATTTGTACTCTGGTTTTTAGAGTTATAAGTTCATTTCAAACTTCATTTATTTCATTTTTTAGATCAGGAATTGTAGGTTCTTTGTGGACTTGAGTTTTATTTTGAACTCTTTTTAGGATATTCGTAAAACTATAATCTTCTCTAGTAGGAACAAGAGAAGGTTTAGAAGAACTCGAGGGTTCTTTGGTTATATTGATATAATGTGTCAAGGCTTCTCCTTTAGCCTCGGGATCACTTATCTTATCAATTAAATCAATGACAAGATTTCTTCTTATGTGAGTGTATTTAAGAAATCACAATGACAGTCTATATTAGTCTTTTCTTCAGAATCTGTTTCAGAGTCTGAGCTTCAAAACATTAAATCCTCATCTTTTATTTCTCCGATAGGTAAATCTTCATCAAAGTCAGAAGATTCATCAGACTCATCTCTTTTTATTAATAAAATATCGAATAACTACTTTTTGATCTCAAGGTCTATTTCAAGAGCATTTATTTTCTTTTTTACTCTATATTTATTTTTATAATGTCCTACTTTCCCACAGTTGTAACAAACTGGTATTTTTCTTTTTCCCTTTTGTTTAAAAGAGTGATCATGTAAGAATTTTTTAGGAAAAGTATTTTTCTTTCTTATAATTAGACTTAGATTTTCTAGAGTCTCTATAATTTTGTTTGTGAGTAGGCTTGGAAGTTGGTACAGTATTGAACCCAAATTGCTCACAAAAGTCTCCTAATTCCTTTCTCCCCCTCATTCTTTGCTTTTCTAATTGTCTCTTCAATTTCATGTCTGTGCATAATGCAAGACCTTCAGCATAGATTTCTGCTGAGAGTTCTTCAAGGGTATATAAGGAATAGGGAATAATTCCTCCATACTTATTTTTTAATCTTATCTTAACCTTTTCAGCAAAAAGATTAGGAAGTCCAGCAATGAATTTTTCTTTCCAATGATTGGCTTTACTATCTTCCTCAGTCTGGAGTAAAAATACATCTTTATACCATTTAAAATGTGAGATAGTTGGGCAACGTAAGTTTGAAAGTAGATCTTTCGATCTAGCAGATAAAAGGGCTGTACTTCCCACAAAATGAAGTGTAATAGTATATATTAGGGTGTTTACTGCATCTCCCTTAGTCACTAAATTTTCTAGATCCTGTCCTTGTCCGACCTTAGCTTTTATATTATATTGTTTAATAGCATTCAGAATTTGATCTTTGGCTTCCTCATCCATGTGGAAATCCCACCATCCTCTAAGCCATCTGGTAAATCCGCATATAATGGCTTTAGCAATTTCGTGGTCTTGATTTCCACTTGCTTTACATGCGGTGGCATACATTGTCATATATTTCATAAGATCAAGAATATGATTTTCAGACATCCCATCTATATTTCAATTTACTATGGACCTTCCTGAATAGGAAACTGAACTGGCAATTAGGTCTTCCTCTATATGAAGATCTACAGGGGTTGGTCGAGGGTAGTACATTCTGGTTGGCGCAACTGGCCTGGTTTTTCTCCCATAATCTATTCTAGTAATTTCTAAGCTTTTGATTTAAAAGCTTTTTCTATTTCAGATATTTGTCGATTTGAAAAAACTTTTATCTTCTTGGAGGACTTGTACATCACTAGATTTTTCTTTTATATCTAGTTTTTCAAGTCGTTTTACCAATTCATTTACTAATTCTTTATTATCCTCTTTCTTTTTGATTCCCTGTAGGTTGAATTTTTCTGCCGCAATATTAGGAGGTGGTTTGAATGAAACTGCCCCTTTTTCTTTTTCTTCTTTCTTCTCCTGGTGTTGAGGTTTTATTGTATTTAGGACATTCTCTATCCTATTAGTTTGTTTTCTTATGGTTTGTAGGAAAAGATTTGTATAATTATTTTGCTCTATTATGTGGGGAATGGCTTCAATTTTAGCCATCTGGTTCTCAAAATCTTTTGGTCCAATTTTGAAGGTGAGGCTTTTATGTCTTGTTTCTCTCCTTTCAATTGTAAGCTAGTTTCAAGTGGATGGATAGCTTCAATACTTTCTCCTTTAACTGTATGAAAAGTTTGAAAAGTATTTTGGACAGTATTAACCTGAGTATTTACCTGGAATTCTGGGTATTTTATTCCTTCTTTTTTAGGTATATACCTCAGCCATTGAAAATTTTTACATTTGTTTTATGTTGTAACATGAATTTATTAAGTTTTATATGAAAAATTTCTTTTAATCTTTCATTAAATTCTTGAAGAAATCATTCTCTTATTTGTTTATTTTCATCAGAGAGAAAATCCTTTTTAACCCTTTTTTTATCTATGGTAAAGTCATCTTGAGTTTGGGTTGTCAGAATTTCAAAATCGAATTCAGACATAGTAGGTTCTTCTTGCTCAGTTTGGGCAGAGCTGAAAGTATTCACGGTATAGACTGAGTGTTGAACCTGGTTCTCAATTTTCTTTAAACTTTCAAGAATAATTCTATCATTATGAGCCCTTTCATAATTAGATTGAAGTATAGAAGAAGTTGAACTTCTAGGAGGAATTCTAGAAGGAATTCTCGGAACCATATTCGAAAAGACAGTATTTGAAATGGTAAGGCACTTTTCTACTGAATAAAACTTGGCTCTGAATAAAACTTTTCGTATCAGGTAAATTTCGGAATGGATACCAAAAGTTTTGCAGGAAGACAAACATACATTATGAAATGGCTTATAACTATCCATTTTAAAACTAATTTAAAATTATATATATCAGGAGCCTTTTTATGGCAAATTTGCTATCACTGATACCAAAATTTGCCTATATTTGGAGTGTATTTTGCAGGATACTGTTTTTATGGATATATGAATTTTGCAGGATACCGTTTTTGCGAATTTAATACACTCCATTTACCTATAGGCAAATAGGTATACTGTTTTTAAAATAGGTATATATATTTGCCTATAGGGAAATTGGCAAATAGGTATATATATTTGCCTACAGGCAAATAGGTAGTTTTGCCTACAGGTGCATCTATGGACGTATATCCTGCAAACAGTTTACCTATTTGCCTATAGGCAAACAATATACCTATTTACCTATATATATATATATATATAGGAAAAGTTATATAAG